CGGGCAAACCCCCGGCACCAAGCCCCCATCACGGTCCCCACGGCCCCCTTTCCTCTGGCTTCTCAGGGAGCCACGGCCTGCCCGGCGCTCCTCGCCGGCTTGGCCCAGTGGTTAGGGCATCGGCCCACGCACCAGGGGGTCTCCGGTTCGATTCCAGTCAAGGGCACATACCTGGGTTGCAGGTCCCATCCCCAATCGGGGGGGTGAGTGTGGGACACAGTCTGTGTGTTTCTCACACCGATGTTTCACTCTCTCTAAAACCCAATGGGAAACATCCTCAGTCCAGCTGGGGTGGCTCAGTGGGTGATGCCAGGCCCGTCCTCTGTCACCGTCCGGCGTTAATAAACGTCTCCATCACCAAAACCCCCAAAGCAAACAATTAACTCCAAGTGGACCGAGGTCTGAACGTGGGACCAACACAACAAACGAGAAATCACAGAACGGAAGCGGCACTCGCTGCACTTGGCCGTGACAACAAAGGCACAGACACCAGGAGAAGTACGCACACTGGGCTTCGTGGGAATGAAAACTGTTTACATCACGTGACACTATCAACAGTAAAAGCCAGCTGACAAACGGGGGGAAACGTGTCTAAATCACACGTCTGATGGCCCACGGGCAGACAACACGTACACAACCACTACAACTCAACAAGCCCCCCGATTCAACAAGGGGGAAAGGGCCGAGAGACATTTCCCCAGAGACACACGAACGGCCAGGGCACACCTGCCAGCAGAGGATGCCCCGCGTCGCCACGCGTCAGGGAAAGGCAAACCCACCCGAGACACCACCGCCCGCGGGCAGGATGGCCGTTATGGCAAACACCCCAGAGGAGAAACGCTGATGGGGTACAGGAAAGGCCGAGCCCTTGTGCACTGTTGGTGGGAAGGAAAACGGTACAGTCACAATGTAATAGTATGTCGGCGTCTCAAATAATTAAAAATGAAATTACCAGCCCGGCTGGCTGGCTCAGTGGTTAAGCGTCAACCTAGGAACCAGGTCACAGATCCATTCCCGGTCAGGGCACGTGCCCAGGTTGTGGGCTCGATCCCCAGTGTGGGGTGTGCAGGAGGCAGCCGATCCATGATTCTCTCTCATCACTGATGTTTCTCTCTCTCTCCCCCCCTCTCCCTTCCTCTCTGAAATAAAATATATTTTTTAAAAATTACCACAGGCTTTTCCACCATAAAACCGGATGCATGAACTATAATTACAGCCTATAATGTGCCTGCTATTCTGTCTTTATACACCTTGGCTTCCCAAATGTACAGATTAAAAGGGTGCTAGGAATCCTGACATACAACATACGGCCTCCGATCAGGGCTCTAGTCACACCTTCTTAGTCCCTGCCCTTACTTCTGGGTCTCAACCCCACTCCATACCACACACCTATTAAAAAGGTAGCCACATCACACATTAGAGGGATTTTTATTTTGCTATAAAAATAGATGTTGAAGTTGTCATTTTACTCCTGAAATCCTTTGGTTCTGAGAAAGGGAAATACGTTGATGTAACATTCACAACTTCATGCAGATCCATTTTTCTGATGAATTTCTTAATGAACTGCTCAATTTTTAAAAATATATATTTTTATTAATTTCAGAGAGGAAGGGAGAGAGAGGGGAAAAAAAATCAATGATGAGAGAGAACATTGATCGGCTGCCTCCCACACACCCCACACTGGGGATCGAGCTCACAACTTGGGCATGTGCCCCGACCAGAATCAAACAGTGACCACCTGGTTCAGAGGTCGACACTTAACCACTGAGCCACGCCGGCCGGGCTGATGTCAGGGCCTTTGATGCTGGCCCCGGGCACCCGTTTCCAAAGCTCTCTAGGTGTTTCCAACCCGAGGACCAAGATGAAGACGCTGGTCTAAGGGGAAGCCGCCGAAAGGCCATGATGGGCAGAGGCGGGGAGGGATATAACTGAGGTTTACGCCTCAGTGGAAGGCCCGGTGTTGCTAATGAAGACACGAGACACAGAGGGCACACAGCATGGCTGCATTCGCCGCGAGTCGAGAAGCAGACACACTGGCCTGTGGTACAGGGAGTGCACGGGGCGGCACAGCCCTCACTAATGGCAGACGCCCGGGCACAGAGATGACCCCAGTGGGTCCGGTCCTGGCGCTGCCGCA